CACTTAAATATTTATGCAAAGTTTCAATCCATTTGTATAAACCCTCGAAGAAAAAAGTGACAAAATTGATTTTGACTAGGGTCGCCCCTAGTCCAAAATTGAAATTGTATTTCCTACTTGGTTCTTTGCTCAAAAAAATTTTAGGATGTTTTATTTGTATTTGTTTTAAGCATTAGAATATTTATCTATAATAATCTCTACAACAATCTCCCTAAATCATTGAAGGACACAACCAATTTGTATAGTTTTAAAAGCGGATTGAAGAGATTCTTGCTGGAAAAGAGAGAAACTTTATTAAAGAATCGGCAGTTCTTGGACAGAAATTTAAATATTGCGTGACGAGAAATCCTATACTTATCTGATTAATGTTTTTAACTTGTGAAGTTTCTTGTGGTGTTTTTGATCAATGCTGAAGCTCTATCATATCAGTTCTTGCAGTTTATTTTAATAATCCCAATATTTTCTTTTCATTGTTTACGTGTCTATTTTAGCACAAACATTTAGCACTATGGTGGAAAACTTTTAAATTCAGTCTGGTCGTTAAACTTTTATTGTATTTATGTAAATTTAATATGAAACCACAAAGATCGTTAAATCTTGTTGTCATATCTTAAGTAATTCCAGATGTCTTAGTATAATTATTACCAACCAGTATGGGTTTTTTTTTATAAAATGTAATTGTAATTCCTCCAAGGTTTTTTGCGCTCCTTCAAACAGTTTAAGTACTGTTTTAGGGAGCTTTTTCCATGGACGAAGGAAAATAATGAATAAATTCAAATTCAAATTATACAAAGTTTCAATTCATTTGGATGAACCCTCGAAGAAAAAAGTGACAAAATTGATTTTGACTAGGGTCGCCCCTAGTCCAAAATTGAAAATGTATTTCCTACTTGGTTCTTTGCTCAAAATAATTTTAGGATGTTTTATTTGTATTTGTTTTAAGCACTAGAATATTTATGCAAAGTTTTAATCCATTTGGATAAACCCTCGAAGAAAAAAGTGACAAAATTGATTTTGACTAGGGTCGCCCCTAGTCCAAAATTGAAATTGTATTTCTACTTGGTTCTTTGCTCAAAAAAATTTTAGGATGTTTTATTTGTATTTGTTTTAAGCACTAGAATATTTATGCAAAGTTTCAATCCATTTGTATAAACCCTCGAAGAAAAAAGTGACAAAATTGATTTTGACTAGGGTCGCCCCTAGTCCAAAATTGAAAATGTATTTCCTACTTGGTTCTTTGCTCAAAAAAATTTAAGATGTTTTATTTGTATTTGTTATAAGCATTTAAATATTTATGCAAAGTTTCAATCCATTTGGATAAACCCTCGAAGAAAAAAAGTGACAAAATTGATTTTGACTAGGGTCGCCCCTAGTCCAAAATTGAAAATGTATTTCCTTCTTGGTTCTTTGCTCAAAAAAATTTTAGGATGTTTTATTTGTATTTGCTTTAAGCACTAGAATATTTATGCAAAGTTTCAATCCATTTGGATAAACCCTCGAAGAAAAAAGTGACAAATTGATTTTGACTAGGGTCGCCCCTAGTCCAAAATTGAAATTGTATTTCCTTCTTGGTTCTTTGCTCAAAAAAATTTTAGGATGTTTTATTTGTATTTGTTTTAAGCATTAGAATATTTATACAAAGTTTCAATTCATTTGTATAAACCCTCGAAGAAAAAAGTGACAAAATTGATTTTGACTAGGGTCGCCCCTAGTCCAAAATTGAAAATGTATTTCCTACTTGGTTCTTTGCTCAAAATAATTTTAGGATGTTTTATTTGTATTTGTTTTAAGCACTAAAATATTTATGCAAAGTTTTAATCCATTTGGATAAACCCTCGAAGAAAAAAGTGACAAAATTGATTTTGACTAGGGTCGCCCCTAGTCCAAAATTGAAATTGTATTTCTACTTGGTTCTTTGCTCAAAAAAATTTAGGATGTTTTATTTGTATTTGTTTTAAGCACTAGAATATTTATGCAAAGTTTCAATCCATTTGGATAAACCCTCGAAGAAAAAAAGTGACAAAATTGATTTTGACTAGGGTCGTCCCTAGTCCAAAATTGAAAATTGATTTTCTATGGTGTACTTTTGTCAAAAAAATTTTTTGGATGTTTTATTTGAATTGACATAATTCTGACATAAATCACATACCAATATTACTTTATGTAATGCATAGCTTAAAAAGCTATGCAGCTTTTTGGCTGGAAACCAAAAAAACAAATTCTTTATCTTATAACACTTGAAAAAATAGCGACATAATTCAGGATTAATAACTTTTTAATAATATTTTAACATTTACGAGAAAATGTGGTTCAAATAAGTGTGAAGTATGGCCGAGATTTGGACCAAAATCAGCTATACTGGTTCACAGTGTTCCCGAGGGTGACAAAATTCAAACTAAGTGTTTTTGTAGCTGACATAATTATGACATAAATTAGGTTTATCTTTTGAACTGTGTCGATATGGGTCTCGGTCGTACTTCACGCCCACCCTTCAAACTTATGCTGAGCAAATCTTGGTCTATCCATAAGACTTTTGATGGTACGGTGTGAATATATCCGCATTGGGTTTCTACCCGATACACTAGTTTTGGTGTGAATTTGTAAACAAATTTTTTCGTGAACTTTTTTTTTAAAGACAGACGACAGTTAGAACGTTACATACTTCTTGCACCCCGCCCCCCTATGTTACATTTTGTTACAATTCTTCAATTTTAACTCAAAACTCTTCAAATGATCGTCCTATGTTGAGGACCGAACCCAGAACTGTACTTTGAATGAGGTTGGATGACTAAATATCTTATTTATAGCTGCGAACAGGTTGGATCTTCTAAACTCCGCAAACATCCCAATTTCAATATGAGAGTCCTTAAGTTGTAAAGTATATTAGCACTAAACGCCATTGAACAAGAATTTAAGTTCCACAAAAAAAAAATGTCATTCAAATACTTTAAGACGACTGTATCATATAAGTAAACAGCAAGCAGGAAGAAGAAGAAGATCAATACAAAAATTCAAGAAGTGAAATCACGTATTTTCGTATTCTAAGAATAAAAATTAAGATACGAGGAAACGTTAAATAAACTACGAAAGAAATATTTACCCATATACAGCCAAAAGAATTCTCTTCCTTTACTTACTTCTGTGCACCATCGTCCTCTAAATGAGACAATAAGACATCTCAATTTTTTTTTGTTAAGGTGCACTTTTGGTGTACCGTAAAATTGATAAAAATAAAAGAGAGAAAAAAAAGTAAAGGCAAGTCGGTCGATTTTACATGATGTAGCAAAAAAGCAGCAAAAAAACGTGCAAATGTGCAAATTACACGTTATAAGTTAAAATGGACTCGTAATTAGTAGCTACTTATAGCATAAATGAGTATATAACATTGTTACGATTAATCGTGCGCTTACCTTTATTTTTGAACGTAAAATTTTACGTTCTTTGATTATCATTTAAATACCCTTCTTGTCCTCTCTGCTGCTACTGTTAGACAGCATTCCGGTGCAGCGGATATTGGATTTAAAAAAATATACAAAAAATTTTATATCGACAGCATTTTATCATAAGAGGAAATTACATTTTTGCACGGATTTATTTATTGACAATGCCGTAGATCGAATGAGGATATCCAATGTTCCCAAAAGGTCAAAAGGTATCAAGAGGCTAACTTGTAAAGCTTTAAACTTATATTAAAAGTTCCCAGTTTGATCCTAGTTCATTATTAAGAGGAAGCTAGTTGCTCATTTACTTAATCAAGTTGAAATGCTCTGTTCGAGTGCTGTTTAAGTCTGAAAGATGCGCCCCTCCTGCTTAGGATGCAAGATCCTACAAGTATCTTTAAGACCTCCAAAATCGTAATCCTTTAAAACGTGCAAAAGCAAAAGGTTCCCTGCCTTCAACTAATTCCTGCTACTAGATTCCAAAAAGTCAAGCAAAAATGCGACAACAACCGCGACAGTCTCAAAACAAAATATAATTTTGGTATCATTAATTTTCTTATTTTAAATCAATCGCGACAGTAAACATGACGCGTGTTTAAAGCGAACATGAAAGCAGAACATAATATAAAAAAGCCTAGATGAATAATGAAAGGAGAACGAGATCAAGATTTCATCTTAATTCCGTGTAATAAAATAATTAATTGATTGAAAGTGTTTACATATAAAAGCTCTTATTTTTAAGATAATTCTTTAATGTTTCTTGCTCCAATCGAATGTGTTTTGATTAATGATTTGAGATTGAGCATAATGATGGAATTTTGAGGAACAGTTTTGGGTACCAAATATTGAGTTATGTTCTCTCAATAAAATGATTATCAATTTTTCTATTTTATTTGATTTGATTAATTGAATTTTATTAAATTATTGATGAGTATGACCCCTTTTTTGTGGAATCATCCTCATCCCCTAAGATGTTTTGACACATTCCTGTGAACCAATCGTTAAGTCTAGTTTAGTTCGATTTATTTATGAATTATTATAATTTATTTATCGATTTCTGATTTGATTTTTATCTAGTCAGGGAATTAATTTACAATTTTATGGTCATTTTATTGAAAATCACGTTTACAAGCATGACTTGAGATTTATATATTTAAATTAACGTATTTGAAAAAATTAAATTTCTTCAACCTGAAGTTAGCGTCAATACAAATATTCTTACAAGATTCAAATTTATTTACTTAACGACAAACCAAAGCTAATATAGGATGTTAAAGTTTATGAACTTGAATTGATTTCGGACTAATCTACATATTGGTACTGAGATTCAATATATTTGAATTTCAAAAAAGACTGACGATGAAAAATATTTCTTAAAAAATCAATTTTATGCTTCAAACGTGGACGAATATAAAAATTTTAAAATGAAAATTTAAAAAGAAAAAAAAAATCCGAAAATATTCTCTTAGCAACCATATGATTCAAAATCAACAAAAGTCGTCAATAACAACAACTCATCATTTGTGAAATTTCGTTTAATTTATTTCGTTTTAGTAAACAAGCCAGGATAGTTTTGATTTTGTTGAGATTGTGTTAAGGCGCGAATATCCTGGTCGTTAAACATTTTTTTTTGAAGAAATATTCAAGGTTGATTAATATCTCCTTTAAAAGTTTTAATTTGACATTCCGTGTGAAATAAAAAGTGATTTAAAAATGCCTACTTGCTCAAATCAAAGATCCAAATTAGATCCAGGCACGAGTTGTGAAAGTAAGAAGGACATTCTGCTATTGGATTTTCCACAAAATGCTGGCGTTAGATGGAATAAGAATTGTCCACCACCGAATCAATATAAAGGCATTTATACGTGGACAAGCACGCCTCGTGCTCTCTACACAAATCGCAAGCTCATTCGAGAAAATCTAAACCTTCAAAGGTAAGTTCAAGGGTATTTTCTTGCATGTGAAATTCTAAGCTTAAGGTATTAATTACTGCGAAAAATTCTCAAAACAGTCATTCACCCTTTTATCGTCAGTCCGATTAAAAATATTCTTATTTATTCCTTATAATGGATGTGTCGCCTGTTCAAGAATGAATAAATTCTAATCTAGAAAAGAAAGTGATATTTGACGTCATTGCATAATGAGCTTCTTCACTGAAACTAATGTGTCAAAAGTATAAAATTGACATGCAATCCATTATAGTCCTCTATCTTAAAATTTAGTGTATTATTGTTGTACAAAAATTAATCGATCTGATTCTAATTCTAATATCTGTAACGACAATTCATTGACTTTTACAGAAAGCCTTCAAGTTTGTCGTTTTACATCACAAGAAACTTTAAATTTTTTATCGACACATGTTTGAGCTTCCTTTTTCTCACACTTACCGGCATACTGAATATGTAATCATGTTAACCTAGATAATAATAATAATTTTACTATTGACATAGTTTTATGGATATCAATGATTATTATTTTATTAATGGTGTTGGAGGCTGTCCAAAATAATGGGAAATTGAATTATAACGTTATAAATTAATTTGAATTATTTGAAGCTTTTAAAGTTTCGTTAAATTTAACGAAGAAATTTGAATTTTTAAAAACCGTTAAAAATCTTAAACAACTGCAATGCTTTTCTAATGCACAGCTTTCAAAATAAAACATTTTATTGACCTCTAAAAATTCAATTAACATAAAACAAAAGCACCAGGAATACATTTTACGATGAAAATAAAACTTAATAAAAATCTAAGCGTTATCACGCTATCCACCCCCCATTTGAAATGAAAGATGACCCTTAAAAATTATATATTTTTCGATACGCTTGATTGCATTTTAGTATATGGATACTATTCATACAAAATTCCCTTCGATTGTTATAGCATTTAACCGTGTACAAAATTCATAATTCGGGTTAATTGCTACAAAAACTATATGCGATCGTAAAGAGGGGATAAATTAAGGAAAAAGTCATTATTCACGTGATATGATGTGAATTTTACATGACGAATAGTTTGGAATTAAAAATAAATTTTAATTCATTATCTCTAACGTCTTATGTCTATTACTCAAATATAAATAACTACTACATTAATTCGAAATTTACTTTCAAGTACATAAAATGAATTAGAAAAAGTGAAAAAGTCAAGAAGAAGCTAAGGAAAAATTCAATAATTTTTCTCTCTTCTTACATTCACCACCACAGCACAGCTCATTGTTATTTTTCCAACAAACCCTTACGTGTATGCACGAAACTGCCTCATTATTTTCCTCCTTTCCTTCTTACTTTCCATTAAAACACCAACAACTGACCACCAACATGTCTTTTTTTGTATTTTTTCTACCCTCTATCGTTACTGTTTGGTCATTCGGGCGCTGAACTTATGGAGGAAAAGTTGTGGATTATTGTTTTTTTTTTTGCTTAGTACAAAGTATGAGCTTTTAAGCTTCGGAATGTGAAATATTTTGTGGAATTTAAAGTTCAAAATTTGACGAAAGTTGAAGATTTGAAAGTTTAACGGAAATTCAAGATTTGAAAGTTTAAAATTTGAAAAAAGTTAAAATGTGATAAAGTGAAATTTAAGGATGTGATAATCAGAAGGAATACATTGTTGAAATATTTGTTAAATTGTTAATTAAATTGAAAAAAAAAGTAAGGATGTTCATGATAATTATCTATGCACTAGCTACCTTCTATGTCTAATTCCTTAATCAAAATAATATAAGGATATAATATCCTCCACAGATTTATAGAATAACAAGCAATTATAATAATTTTATGTATTGCGTTCAAGTTTAATTTTCGTTAACAAGTCTCTCATTTTAATGCATTAGGTTTCTGGAGCAAAATTTACATTTTCTCTGGTCAAATGTCTCCAAAATAATGCGTAATGTAATTTATTTACTATTCCTCAACAATACAAACTCTTTAATAAAATCATAAAAGCTGTAAATGTAAAAATTTGTGAAGTCGAATAGAAAAAAAATGCCAGAAGCAGTTCCTCTAAATCAGAGCGAGATTGCTGACGCGAAATTAAAGACGGGTACGAGTGAAATTCATAGTATAATAACTGGTGAGAATTTGAGCTTTCCGTCCACAACTGTTGGCGCCACACCAAAACCAGAAGCAATTGTAAGACCATTGAGACGACGAGAGCCATCAGATGATGACAATCGTTCACCGGATGTAGAAAATTTGGAGGCACAAATAATCGATAAATTGACAAAGTTGGAAAAGCCACAGAAATTGCAGCGACAATCGAGTCGAGAAAGTGATAGAAAAGCTCAAAACAGTAGACGAGGTTTAAAGGAAGTGAGTAGTTTTGTTTCATTACATGAACAAAAGTAAAACTATAAAATAAATAATTATTCAGGCATCATCCGATGAATCTATAATTAAACGTCCACTATTCGTAACCACAGTACCTCGTGGGATTTTCCTTCAACCGCAACCAATTGTGAAAGAAATAGTGGCGAAAGCACGTCATGTTTATGCATATGCTAGCCACCCACGAATTCTTAACGTTGATCATAAGCAACGGCGTGAAATTCTTTCCAAACAAAGCAGTATTAATAGCACATTCAATCAAATCATTCATCGGAATGTGAACTTAATAAGTAAAAATATTAAAACATTTGACGATCAGATCGATGCTCGATTTGAGAAGGCTGATGATGCAGTTTATAAAATTACGGGTGTTAAAATTACAAGGACAAGGTAAATTTATAAAGGAAATTGCAGGGACTGGAAAATTTATAGCTTTTTTAATTTATGTTAATCGATGCATGCAGAATTTTTTAAATATGTATGAAGGAATCATATCGCAAGGTCATCAGAAATTTCTTTTTATGGCTCTCTGTGTGCTTATGAATGAATTAATGATGCCTGATGTCCTAAAATGAGGCGTTTTATTTTATTGAGCATTTCTGATTATTTTGTGACATTGGAATAGATTGCTGAATAATTGACATTGTTTAAGTTATGAATATGAATTAAAGATGTTTAACTCAAGAACATGTGATCAAGTTTGATTTTTAACGGAAAAAATTTGAATTTTTTAATTTGGAAACCACACAGTCCCAAAAGTTTAAATTTTAACGAAACAAATTTCAAATTAATTTTAGCCGTTGTCCCACAAAACAATCAACTTCTAACTCTATTTGATTAACTAGAGATTTATATCTCGGTGCACTTCAAAACATGTAATTCTCGAGTCTAGAAATTCTAGACTAAGTTTACCACACAATATCCATAATGAATAGTATGTAATTTATTATGCCATTTTATGACTCTCGTAAATGATTCGCAGGAATTGACCTCTACTCACAATTTTGTATGTAATTATTCCGAGCTTTTGACTACTCGTTTGTTAATGAAAAAAAAAATTCTAGAGGAATCAGATAAAGAAATGCCTTTTGGCTTTCGTTTAGTGCGTAATAGTCTTCTTGTTGTTTAGATTAAGTCTGTATGAAATATTCATACCTGTTGGGGTTTGTTCATAAATGATATCAATCTTCAATCATGTTTTTCGAATAGAATGGGCTTTAGTCACAAGATTCTCATACAATTGATACCAAACATTCCCAAACTCTAAAGTTTGACGCCATTTATGAACGACCCACCAGTTCTATTTTATTATTCGACCATACTGAGTTAAATGGTCTGAAAAAAAAACATCCAGACTTTTCATATTTGCATAGAAACGAACCAAAAAAAAAGCCTTTCCAAATATTAAACAACATTAATTTTGCAAAGCTTTTCGTGTATACATAAAATTTGAATTTCATAAAAAGTGACGAATTAGCATTGACGTAAATTTACTCACGAGTGTTTTTCCTTCTTCATATCGAAGCTTCTACTTCTTTAATTTTTGCCACTCAAGTTTAGCTTTATAACTTTTTATGAGGCATGATAATGATGATATTATTGCACAATAAAATCTATAAAACGCTATAATTCTAAACAATCGCACACTTTTTCGTGATAAATGATTGTTCTATGTTCTGTGCATGGAAATAAACAACGGGGAAAAAAAAATTGGAAATCAATATTTAAGACAATATTTAGTCGCAATTATTTTTGTATGATGGCATGTCAGTGGATTTTTCTTCTTTTTTGGCAAACAATAGAGCTGTTTTTTGATGTAGGTAAAGGTGCTGATATTTTTTCTATGTCCAATAAATTGTTAAATTGACACCACTCTTGACATCCCTGCTTCTACCTTGTCTTTAGTTTAAATTGAACCCTCGTTCCCACAAAAACAGTCTGTTGCTGTCTAACCCTCAAATTAATAGATTTTCGACTCCAGACTACTATTCTCAAACCCCACAGCACCTTATAGAAAATAGTTGTGCTGCTTGCTCATCGTCATGAGTGAACAACCCCAAAACGTGTATTTAAGAGGAATTAAACTTTTAAAAAAGTTATTTTTGACAAATTGGATTACGAAATGAGAGTATCGGGTGCTTGAACTTAGTACACAGTAATTAAATAATCATCTTGTTAGAAATAATTGATTCGTGACTTTTCAAATGATGGGAAATAATTTCTTGATTTTTCTAATTACAAAAGTTTATTGGCAAGATGAGGAGGGGATTGGACTTAAATTGAAAGTATTTAATTTCCCGTTTTTATGCTTCTGAATCATTCATTTGTGCTGAATAGAACTCAATCTAGGAAACATCCTTACATCCTTAAGTCCATACTATGCAATGAGTAATTTCACATAACTCAGCGTGTTCTGTAGTGATACCCAATGAATATGTAGATCAACAACAATTTAATTTATGCATACAAATATCTCTGCATTTAGATCAGTATGAATATGAAAATTACTTGCACTAAGCTACCCCGCTACTTTCCTGTGAACATTCGAGTGTATGAAAAATTAAAATCGATTGAAATCAATTAGCCATTGTTGTTTAATTCGTGACTTTTTAATAATGACATTAGAGATCAAAATATTCCGATAAAAAAAGTGGGATACATATTTATGAAGGTCTCCTATTGCGTCATCAAAAGTTGTAGACAATTGATTTCCTGGAAAAAATTGTATTTCCCACGCAACTTTATTTATTTTTAAATGACTGATGTTAAGGAAGTCATGAGTTTCTTTGTTGTGTTCGATTTTTGAAGATTATTGAATATTTTACAGTTTTAGAATTTAGATTTAAGTGTATTCAAAACAAACCGTTAAATTTAAAATTCAAATTTTCCCGCATTTTTTTAAAGTCAAATTTGAATCTATATCAAAAATAACGACCAAATGTTTATCCTTGACCTTAGAAATTTGTCAATTTAATGATCAAGCAACACACAATAAAGTCAATTAACAAAAGGGATAATCCAACTGACTGATTATGATTGAAAAGCGTTTTGTAAAATGATCCTTGATGGCTTTTTGATCGTTTTATTTATAAAATATAAAAAGCCTTTGTAATCTATTTACGACAGTAAACTTACAGCATGGAAAATTGTCTTTAGTGCCTACACAAACACGTCGTTTCCTTTCGATTTATTGTATCATTTTGATTAATTGCTATATAATAAGTTTTTATTCTTATTCTAAGAGCGATTGAACGGAAGTAGTGCCGAGAAAAAAACTTATTCTAGTCATTCGCAGGAACAATGAGCTACGAAATGAAAATCACGAAAAAGGAATTTTGTTGTCATGCACACGATTTGATTCTTTAAAAATAGTCATGAAGGATATTTTTTGCATGAATTATGTATGTAGAACATCAGCGATATAAAGTCTAAAGCTCACGAATATGCGATGAACCTTTATTGTGATTTTAAAAAGAAATTGCTCATTGCAGAAGGTCAATGTCAAACTAATGAATTCCATGTTTTCACATATTTAATTTTATGATGGAAATTTGTAGCCTATAAAATATGTAAGGAATGACTTCTAGCTACCATAAATCAATATTCATGATTTTTTTCTTTATGGGGTGAATGACCAGAATGGAAATGTCAGGCCTTAGTGCTTCTTAATTTGTTGATAAATTATTTTGTTTACTCACTGGAAGTGCAGAATGGAAATTCTTTTTATTTATTTTGAAACATCCAGAATTGAAAACTATAACCAAAACTGAATATCTGAACATGTTCTTAACTCTAATCTTTTCTCCATTCCATTCCAGAGAGAGTCAGCCATGTCAAAATTTGATGTACGATCGTCGGGTGGTTCGAGGAAGTAACTTTGCCTCAACAAATCTCCAAGTTGTAAGTCAATATGATTGTGATAAATTTGCAAGCTTTATCACCTTCCCATCCATATAGATGTAATGTTTAGGATATAGGAATTTAAAGTTGGTGCTTGATAAAAAAATCTTTTTTGATAACTTTTGATGATTGAAACTTTTTTTCTTCACTTTTTTGCACTTTTTTAATTTTTTTTTATTGAACTTATTTAAAGTGGAATCCTTATTTTGCTTACGCTGGACTATTGTCTGGAAAGGTAATGCAGGATTCATTTTGGATTTTAGAAATTTTTTAATAAGATGTTTTTTGTCGAAATAATTGGATATTTTTGAAATGATGAAATTTTTTGATAATTAGATTAGCTTAGTGTAGCATGAAATTTAATGGCAACTTGTTTAGGGATTGCAGCGTTGCTTCTGGTCTCAAATTAGTCAAAGCTATAATTCTAATAATTGTTAAGTTACTGTTCGAAGACTATCTTAGAATGCATTCTAGCAACTTAATCTAAGCAGGTTTCATTGCCAACTTGTATAGCACTAGAAATTTGCCTAGAATCCTCTTCTAGGATCTCTTTGAATGGTTTCCTTTGGATCAGCAGATTGTTGCTATAATGCCAATATACAGTTTAAAAACAATCTTTTCTAGAACTTGAAATCGCTTTTATTTTTCAATATACTAAGCTACTGGTGCATGGCAGTGCTTACATTATTAAATTAAATAGATTTTTCCCTCTTCTATAATCTCAAATAGATCCGAAGCACGCTTAGCAAGGAATTGTATCACTGAGCATGATTATCTGTTAGAGTTAGACTTGATTTTTTTCATAAAAATTAAAAGCAATTAAAAGCTTTATCATGTCAACAAATCAATTAAAACTAGTTGCCATTAAATTTTTTGTACAATCATCGTTTGTAGGTCTGTAAAGATATTCATGAACCTATTTTATTTCAATTATTTCCACTCTAATTTAAAGGCTGAGTGTGAAAATATAAGAAAAGAGGAAGAAGCAAAGCGAAGGCAAATTTTAAGGAAACGTCAAGTGTCGCGAAATCAACGAGGAGTCATTGGTACACCACCACCAGTTAAAGGCAGAAAGCACGAAACAATACAAACAGAGAAATATTTAGAAGAAGTAAGTTTTTGAGCTTTATAGTATCAAGCATGACTAATTAACCCCTCAACCCTTTTTAAGTTATTTTCACGTCCACCAGAAATTGAGCAATCTTGTCAAACAGATCTTTTCTTACAACGTCCACCAACACCTCTATACGTAACAGGTAAAATATTCGTGCTTACGTGCCAAATCACACGCTTTTCATTCTTGTTTAATTCCGTATCCACAGCAAAAATTGGAGTCGATGCATCAACAGAAATCGTTGACGGAGAATTATTTGACTTTGATAATGAAGTCCATACAATTCTGGAGTCACTAATAGGTACCACATTGCAGCAAGCTTTAACAGAGGTTGTCCATGAAGAGGAAATTGCAGATCTTCGAGAGCAGCAACATAAAATGTTGGCAAATCGAGAAGTTGAAATGGCTGAATTGAGACGACTTGAGAGTAAGGAGATTATGCTGCAAAGTGAAAAGGTTTGTAGCTTAAACAATTTTATCCATGCATCTTGAGACATTGTGTTACTTCCAGACCCGCTGTAAGTTTGAAGAGGACGAGCGAGAAGTCATGCACCTTCAATTAAATCAACGCATAACAGCGGCAAAGTTACTTCAAGGACACATTGCAGATCTCCTACCCAGCGTTCTAGAATCAATAGAATCGGTACGAGATGCTGAAAATAAGGAAGACTTGCAGCAAAAATTGACACCATGGCTAGCTGAGGAGGTTGCATCTGAAATTGGACAGATGGTGGATTCACAGGAACTTTTATTGGAAATTGTAAAGGAAGTTTTACAACACAGGGCAGAAATTTATGCAAATTTTGAACAAGACGATGACATGTGATACATTGAAAAACAGCTGAGCACTGTAATGAGTTTTCTCGTCAATATTTTCATGTATTAACTTTTTCTTTTTTTTTCTGATCAATAAAAAATATCTTAAATTAATTTTGAATTAAATAGATCAGCACAAAGAGATTTTGTGTTTATTTAAGAATTTTTAAATTTTTTTGTTTCATTTAACTTTGTAACGGTTTTTTTATTTTTGAATAGTTTTTGTTAAGTTTAATGAACTATTGAACTATTCTTGACCTTTGACTTGGTAAGATCAATAAGACTAAGAACACTGAAGATCACATTGATCATAAATATAAAAACTTTATTAGAATTCTTTCAAAATGTTCAGGCTATTAGTCTTCCTTTCCAAACATTTTACGGAAATAAATCAAAAATCAACTGTCGAAAAGTCATTTAAAAAGTCATTAATGCAAAACTTCAAGGCTATAAAAAAGATTTAAATCAATAAACTACAGATAAGGGAGCGAAACTATTTTAATTTGCGTAGTAAGCGTAATTCACAAAGATGTCGAGTTCATTGAACACTTTTAAATTGTAGCAATCGTGAAATTTCGTCTACGAAAAATATTATATTAAAATCATTTTACTTTTGATTGAGTTGAGAGATGGAACAAAATAATTTGCAGTCTCTACCGGATGAGATTTTAATCTTTATTTTTGAGAATTTGAGTGCAAAGACAATTAAAGCTTGTCGATTTGTTTGTAAAAGGTTTGTACAATATTTTTTAATGGAAATAATGAATTTTCTGAGTATCTTTTTGATCTCCAGATGGAATCATGTCATTCTCGACTCAAAAGTGTTGTTCCAAAAATTTAAATTTGATTTTGACAGTGAAAAAGTTGAAGACTACAAATTGAATCGAGTTAAAAGGAAATACAGTTCAATTCAAATTAACAGATGTGGATTGAATGTAAATTTGACAGACTTTATAAATCCCTATACAGTTCATACTTTAGAGTTAAATGGATGCACTTTAGATCCTGTGTTATTAGCAAAGCTACTCAAAAGCCTCACATCTCTACAGGTCTTAATCGCACATTGGCTGTATTTTATTGAAGACTTGCATGGAACTTTTGTCAAGGCAAAGCCTAAACTGCGAAAGCTTGAAATTTTATACTGCTACGGCTACGATGTCTTGGATCTTTTGGATATCAATAATATTTCCACATTAAAGGAAGTGTTCATTGAATCAGGTTCTACAAGTAATTTTATCAAATTATTAGACAACCAAAATGAACTGGAATCGCTTAAACTATCAGAATGGGGATCTGCAAACTTCTTTTATTTTCCTGAAGTGTTTAAGTTTAAGTTTCGTCTAAAAAGCTTTACAGTTGATGGTTTAAGAATGTATGGAAAGTTTGATAAACTTTTTGACTTCTTGATGCTTCACAAAAAAAGCTTACAGGTTTTAAAGTTTGGTGAATTACCAACTCCAAGTGGATTTACAATTTACAAGTTTATTTGGAATAATTTATCAATCAAGGAATGTGATATAAGCATTTTAAGGATCAGGGAAATTGACGAATGGATTAATGATAATCATGAGTTCAAAACTGACTGTTCAAGGTTCAAGAAAAGGATTCACGTACAGAAAGTTTCATTTCTTAAAGAAGCATTTGTGGATGCAGATTATTCAGCTTATAAACGCATTGGAAGCTTGAAACAAAGAGGTCTCAATACGTTAAGGTTCAAACTATATTTGAACAACTTTTGTAATGCTACACATTTAGATTTAAGTTCATTTAATCAGAATACACATATCAATTGGGATGCAGTTTTGCCTCACATAAGTTTGGCAATGAAAAATTTAAAAGTTCTACGCACACCAGAATATTTTGATCAACGACTCCTTAGTATGGAGAGCATTTACTTCCCGAATTTAATGGAACTCTCATTATCAAAAATTAATAGCGAGCTTATTAAGAACTTTATTCAAAAACATAATAAGACTCTAGAGAAAGTTTCTTTTTGCTGGTTCGAACATCATTTTATGGGAGATGTTATAAATGAGATTGTGAACTGCAATAACTTGAAACTTTTGTTGATGCATGCAAAAGAATCGGAAATTTTCGGTATATTCAACAGAACAGATTTACAGATTATAAAAAGAACTGAGCCATGGAGCCTTAATATTGAGTTCTTAAACCATACTCCAATTGTTCTCAAGTATAAGTTTCCTGACGACATTATTTATTGGAAGGATCATTACTTATTCTTGAATCAAGAAATTTTCAATAAGAAAGAAAATTCCGAATTAAATTTTTGGTCAATTTTAAATAAGTTAAAAAATTTGTGAGATTTTCTATAGTATGAATAATAAAATTAATTTATACAAAAAGTCGCAGTAACCTACTTATAGTTTTAAAATTATGTGACTAGTCATATTCATAGGCTGATATATTCAGGGTTAATAGCCAGCTAATATCAGCACTGTCAACGACTTTTCAGTACTTTCCCAGACAGACTGGAAGCATCAGCATTTTTCATTTCTTAATTCGTTGGAAATTGATAAAAATGAATTCATTTATTATATTGCAAGAAGGCACAAAATCAATCGCACACTTAAATCGTCCATCATTTTTTTGGAAAGAAAGAGAGGGGGGAAGTTGGTCTAGGATTTTGTGGCACCTTATAGTATGTGGCATGTGGATTAAAACCACATTTTTCTTTGGACTTAATAACTGAACAACACATTGTATCAACTGCTTTATAGCTTGTCAAAATTATAATTTTCATCACAAAATCACTACAAAATACGTTACGAAATAATTTCAAATTCAAATGCAACCGTTGAAAAAATACAAAACGTTCTACAAAACTCACCTAAACAAGTTTGTGAAAACATAATTAATTTTACAGTCTAGCAATAGAAAATCGAATGCAAATGACAATTTTACTTTATAAGTATGTATTTTAAACAGCTTTAAAATTGAGCTTCATAGAGGCTCACAAAGTGAATTTAGCCAGATAAATAATATATCCTGAATCGCACTATAGACTTTGAATTAATGCCAAAGGGGTCTCATGATCGTAAAAAACTGGCTCCTTTTATTAATTCAAGACTATAATATGCAAAAGAAATGAAGTATATCATGACGCTTGAAATTAAAGAAAATCCATTAAATGCTGATTCCATTTTGACCGTAAATTTTCCTCAATTTCAAAGCACGAGTCAAAATTTCTCAAACAACCATTTTTCACGACTCTGAAACCCCCTTGAATTCAGAACTGAATATTTACAATTTTTTGTTGAATGAAAAAGTTAATTTAATACACAAAAACGAATATAAAGTATAAAGTTTGGGTTTTAAAATAGCCTGAGAGGTATGTACTGTAATTAAAAAGTCAATAATTCTAAAATTACACTAGTTGGTGACGTAAAAATTGCAAAAGTTTATAAAATTATTAAAGCACATTGAAATTGCACAAAAAAAGTATAGAAGTCGCCGTTGCAGATGTGAATAGACGAATTAGGTGCATTTTTCCTGCGTTGAATATTTAAGTTATATCAGGAACTTAAGTTAAAGACCTAGTAGATTTTAAGTCAAGTTTGATAATAAAGACAAAGATCCAGTAGACACCTATGTCTTGTCAGGGTCCAAAAACATAGCTTCACTTAAGCCTTATTTATGTCTGAAACAAATTATACTTGTATAATTGGATCAAAGTATTGCTTAGAGCTAAAAACAAGGATCCAGTGAGAAGTCAGCCAGCCAAAGTGGATCTTAAAACGCATTGTCTTCAAGATAAATGAATCAAAAATCCCTAAAATATCCAAAAATTCATGCTCTAATTAGCAAATTCTAATAGCTGCTTATGGAATGTCATTTGTGCATTGTAATTAGTCATGAGTGTATTTTAGTATACTTTCTGCTATCGATAATATTTTTTATCGTCAAATTGCCCTGAAAAAAAATGAAGTTTCTTCTTATTCCTAAAAGTGAAATAATGATGCATCATGTATGATACCTTATTGTACAAAAATGCCTTGTATCTTATCATCTGGCTCACACTATTTAAACAATTTCTTTTGTCTCTTCTTCTCTTTTGTAGGAATTAACTGATCATTCATTAGATCGTACTTTAGTTATGGATAATTCAATTTGTGAATCGGAATCACTCGATGGCATGTCACTCAATAATTCAATGGCACCACCATCGCCAGTGTCACGAGAGCAGTTACAGAAACGAATAGATAGCCTTAATCAACAAAATAAAGTGTTAAAAGTAGAACTGGATACATATAAGATTCGCGTGAAGCAATTACAAGAAGAGAATAAGTCATTGAGACAAGCATCTGTGAATATACAAGCAAAGGCAGAACAAGAGGAAGAATATATATCAAATACATTGTTGAAGAAAATTCAGGCATTAAAGAAAGAAAAAGAAACACTCGCACATCATTATGAACGAGAAGAAGAATGTTTAACGAATGATCTTTCACGTAAATTGGATCAGTTACGACAAGAAAAATGTAAATTGGAATTAACACTCGAACAGGAGCAAGAATGTTTAGTAAATAAGTTGATGCGTAAGATTGAGAAGCTTGAAGCCGAGACATTAGCAAAGCAGACAAATCTCGAGCAATTGCGTCGCGAAATGGTTGAATTGGAGAATACATTAGAACAGGAGCAAGAAGCATTAGTCAACAAGCTATGGAAACGTATGGACAAGCTAGAAGCTGAAAAGCGTTCCTTACAAATTCGCTTAGATCAGCCAACAGAGCCAGCGCACATAATTCAGAAAACAATACAACAAAACTCAAATGGTGATGAAGCAACTGCATTAACTACACATATTCAAACATTGCGTTCCGAAGTTGAACGATTACGTAATAATTTAGCGGCAGCTGAAAGAGAAAATCTCGAAAAGACTCAACATTATCAGCATGAAGAACGTCATATTCGTGAAGAGAACATGCGTCTACAGCGCAAATTGCAACTAGAGGTTGAACGTCGCGAGGAATTGTGTCGTCACTTGTCTGAGTCTGAAAGCTCATTAGAAATGGAAGAGGAACGAATTTTCAATGAAAATGTCGGGATTGCACGTACTCGAACAATTAGTTCTCCAGTTCCTGTCCATAGTCCATCTAGTAGTCGCCCATTGTCACCAACTCGCTGTGGTTATTATTGCAATCGCTGTGGTGCTCAGTTATTGGTAAGTATTAATCAATTAATTTCGAAAGTGCATTTCACTTCCAACTGAGGCTTCAAGGTCGGTATTCTACAGTTCTGTTTCACGTGCATTATTTTATTAGTCATTCGCGAAAGTTATCGAAAGCATTTTTTAACCGCATTGCATATCTTTTGCAATTGGGTTAAGAGATTATTTAATAGGTATGGGAAATTTGGATAGATAAAAGGAATTTTGATTACAGTTTCCATGTTCTCAAGTCTTAAATTGTTCTTAAAATCATTAGGCTTATATTTGACCATAAAATTTGAGAGTTTGGCTAAACTTAATTCAAGGATTTAAATAAATCCAAAGATGAGATACAAGTCTGTTCAGTAATCAACTTCATTTAATTCAGTTCAAAAAATTCGAATTTTTGAAAACCGGTAAAATATTTGAATTTTATAAAGCCGTTAAATTTCACTTATATCATATAAATTGATTGCTGTCAAAATTTGCACGTTTATAGAGCACTGACAATCACATTATTTGCCAAATTCCCAATCGATATAATATTGACACATTTATTTTATTGCAGGGACGTCGTGAGCGTTTCATAAAGCCAGCTATTCCACTGCCAAACATGGGCTTAAATACCTCAGCACCAAACGTACTCTCATCATCGATAATTCCAAGTCATCACTCACAAAACAACAACAATTTTAATATTAACAATAATAATAGTGGTGCGAATTCAGGAAGCAATGTAAGCTTATCATCATTAAACAATTCACTTAGCTCATCAAGTAGTTCTACTTTACCATCACAAAGTAGCGGAAACATTTCAGCTTTTGTTCAACCTCCAAGTCCAATGATGGACTAATAAAAGCAGTCGCTGATGCTAATTCCATAATCTGGCATAACGTTGAGCTCCTAAGCTTCTAATTTTTTTTAATCAAAATATGAAATATTCTTCAGTTATTCATCATCATTTTTACTACTATTTTTTTGCTTTAAATTTAGCCGTACTCAACTTATAATAAATCGAAGAAACATAATGTAACTGTCTATAGCTAACAGTCGTATATCCGTACTTTCAAATGGCTTATCAAACAATTTCTTTCAATTCTTCAATTATATCGCATTAATTAATATTCAAATCTCAAATTATAAAAAAAAAAATCGTGCGAAATGTCGCGCCATAAAAAACATGCATTCTATTAATTCGTACCCACTCGAGTCAAATTATCATTAAATTAACATACACACAGGCAGTATAGAGATGAAAATTTATGGAAAGAAGTGGAAACTTTTTAAAAGTTAAGGTCCGTATGCGGATTGCTATTGATATTGTTTAATTTTAGAGTGTCATCAAGGAACACGAAAGAATGATTCTTTTTTTGCATACATACATATTAATTAGTTTATAAAACATGATAATAAATTTATTTTCTGAACTTGTCTTGTATGAAAGATTTACGGGAAATATCGTTTTCACATTTTATTCGTTTTTAAATGATTAAGGATTTACTGATTCATGTAAAAATGGCAAGAAATAAATCAAGTTTCAAAAAATCTCATAAAAATTGCTTTTATTTTATTCTTTTTGTCTGTCTGTCCTGATATTTTAATTTTAAAAATTAACGGTAATTGAAAGTTCAAATTTTTTCAGTTCGTACAATTTAAATTTTTTAAATACGTTATTTTGTAATGTTCCTTTATTGGCACTTACGGCTTAATAGTTTTAATATTATAATTAACAAGTAGAATTAAGGATATAAATTAAGCTCATCATGTCCTCCGATGCATAAGGAACAAATCGCTGTCAGGAGAAGAACAGTTATCAACACATTTGCCATGACTAGGCTTGACTTCCTTCATCAACAGTTCCGGAAAGTCAATGTCATAAGTTAATCCAAGAATTTTGAGATTCTTTGTCTTTGGATATTTGAACAGCATTCGAACTCGAATTTTCATCAACTATCCATAGTCCTTGGATAATACCTAAAAATGTTTTATTTTGAAATGGAATTTAAATCAATTTTGATTTCGATCATAGTAGGCTTTTTTTTAAAAAAAAAATATCGATTTTATATCTATATTACCATTCTTTATCATTTATAATACCTAGATATGTTTTAAAATGCAATTTAAAGCATTTTTGGTTTCGATCATAGTAGGCTATTTTCAAAAAAATATTGATTTTATATCTCTATTAGCAATCTTTATCATTTATAATTCCTAGATATGTTTTAAAATGCAATTTAAAGCATTTTTGGTTTTGATCATAGTAGGCTATTTTCAAAAAAATATTGATTTTATATCTCTATTAGCAATCTTTATCATTTATAATTCCTAGATATGTTTTAAAATGCAATTTAAAGCATTTTTGGTTTTGATCATAGTAGGCTATTTTCAAAAAATATCGACTTTATATCAATATTACCATTCTTTATCATTTATAATTCCTAGATATGTTTTAAAATGCAATTTAAAGCATTTTTGGTTTTGATCATAGTAGGCTATTTTCAAAAAAAATATCGATTTTATATCTATATAAACATTCTTTATCATTTATAAGACCTAGATATGTTTTAAAATGCAATTTAAAGCATTTTTGGTTTCGATCATAGTAGGCTATTTTCAAAAAAATATCGATTTTATATCTATATAAACATTCTTTATCATTTATAAGACCTAGATATGTTTTAAAATGCAATTTAAAGCATTTTTGGTTTCGATCATAGTAGGCTATTTTCAAAAAAATATCGATTTTATATCTCTATTAACAATCTTTATCATTTATAATTCCTAGATATGTTTTAAAATGCAATTTAAAGCATTTTTGGTTTTGATCATAGTAGGCTATTTTCAAAAAATATCGACTTTATATCTATATAAACATTCTTTATCATTTATAAGACCTAGATATGTTTTAAAATGCAATTTAAAGCATTTTTGGTTTCGATCATAGTAGGCTATTTTCAAAAAAATATCGATTTTATATCTATATAAACATTCTTTATCATTTATAAGACCTAGATATGTTTTAAAATGCAATTTAAAGCATTTTTGGTTTCGATCATAGTAGGCTATTTTCAAAAAAATATCGATTTTATATCTCTATTAACAATCTTTATCATTTATAATTCCTAGATATGTTTTAAAATGCAATTTAAAGCATTTTTGGTTTTGATCATAGTAGGCTATTTTCAAAAAAATATCGATTTTATATCTATATAAACATTCTTTATCATTTATAAGACCTAGATATGTTTTAAAATGCAATTTAAAGCATTTTTGGTTTCGATCATAGTAGGCTATTTTCAAAAAAATATCGATTTTATATCTCTATTAACAATCTTTATCATTTATAATTCCTAGATATGTTTTAAAATGCAATTTAAAGCATTTTTGGTTTTGATCATAGTAGGCTATTTTCAAAAAAATATCGATTTTATATCTCTATTAACAATCTTTATCATTTATAATTCCTAGATATGTTTTAAAATGCAATTTAAAGCATTTTTGGTTTTGATCATAGTAGGCTATTTTCAAAAAAATATCGATTTTATATCTCTATTAACAATCTTTATCATTTATAATTCCTAGATATGTTTTAAAATGCAATTTAAAGCATTTTTGGTTTTGATCATAGCAGGCTATTTTCAAAAAAATATCGATTTTATATCTCTATTAGCAATCTTTATCATTTATAATTCCTAGATATGTTTTAAAATGCAATTTAAAGCATTTTTGGTTTTGATCATAGTAGGCTATTTTCAAAAAATATCGACTTTATATCAATATTACCATTCTTTATCATTTATAAGACCTAGATATGTTTTAAAATGCAATTTAAAGCATTTTTGGTTTCGATCATAGTAGGCTATTTTCAAAAAAATATCGATTTTATATCTATATAAACATTCTTCATCATTTATAATACCTAGATATGTTTTAAAATGCAATTTAAAGCATTTTTGGTTTTGATCATAGTAGGCTATTTTCAAAAAAATATCGATTTTATATCTATATAAACATTCTTTATCATTTATAATACCTAGATATGTTTTAAAATGCAATTTAAAGCATTTTTGGTTTTGATCATAGTAGGCTATTTTCAAAAAAATATCGATTTTATATCTATATAAACATTCTTTATCATTTATAATACCTAGATATGTTTTAAAATGCAATTTAAAGCATTTTTGGTTTTGATCATAGTAGGCTATTTTCAAAAAAATATCGATTTTATATCTATATAAACATTCTTTATCATTTATAATACCTAGATATGTTTTAAAATGCAATTTAAAGCATTTTTGGTTTTGATCATAGTAGGCTATTTTCAAAAAAATATCGATTTTATATCTATATAAACATTCTTTATCATTTATAATACCTAGATATGTTTTAAAATGCAATTTAAAGCATTTTTGGTTTTGATCATAGTAGGCTATTTTCAAAAAAATATCGATTTTATATCTATATAAACATTCTTTATCATTTATAAGACCTAGATATGTTTTAAAATGCAATTTAAAGCATTTTTGGTTTTGATCATAGTAGGCTTTTTTCAAAAAAATATCGATTTTATATCTATATAAACATTCTTCATCATTTATAATACCTAGATATGTTTTAAAATGCAATTTAAAGCATTTTTGGTTTTGATCATAGTAGGCTATTTTCAAAAAAATATCGATTTTATATCTATATAAACATTCTTTATCATTTATAAGACCTAGATATGTTTTAAAATGCAATTTAAAGCATTTTTGGTTTTGATCATAGTAGGCTATTTTCAAAAAAATATCGATTTTATATCTATATAAACATTCTTTATCATTTATAAGACCTAGATATGTTTTAAAATGCAATTTAAAGCATTTTTGGTTTTGATCATAGTAGGCTATTTTCAAAAAAATATCGATTTTATATCTATATAAACATTCTTTATCATTTATAAGACCTAGATATGTTTTAAAATGCAATTTAAAGCATTTTTGGTTTTGATCATAGTAGGCTTTTTTCAAAAAAATATCGATTTTATATCTATATAAACATTCTTCATCATTTATAATACCTAGATATGTTTTAAAATGCAATTTAAAGCATTTTTGGTTTTGATCATAGTAGGCTATTTTCAAAAAAATATCGATTTTATATCTATATAAACATTCTTTATCATTTATAAGACCTAGATATGTTTTAAAATGCAATTTAAAGCATTTTTGGTTTCGATCATAGTAGGCTATTTTCAAAAAAATATCGATTTTATATCTCTATTAACAATCTTTATCATTTATAATTCCTAGATATGTTTTAAAATGCAATTTAAAGCATTTTTGGTTTTGATCATAGTAGGCTATTTTCAAAAAAATATCGATTTTATATCTCTATTAACAATCTTTATCATTTATAATTCCTAGATATGTTTTAAAATGCAATTTAAAGCATTTTTGGTTTCGATCATAGTAGGCTATTTTCAAAAAATATCGACTTTATATCAATATTACCATTCTTTATCATTTATAAGACCTAGATATGTTTTAAAATGCAATTTAAAGCATTTTTGGTTTCGATCATAGTAGGCTATTTTCAAAAAAATATCGATTTTATATCTATATAAACATTCTTCATCATTTATAATACCTAGATATGTTTTAAAATGCAATTTAAAGCATTTTTGGTTTTGATCATAGTAGGCTATTTTCAAAAAAATATCGATTTTATATCTATATAAACATTCTTTATCATTTATAATACCTAGATATGTTTTAAAATGCAATTTAAAGCATTTTTGGTTTTGATCATAGTAGGCTATTTTCAAAAAAATATCGATTTTATATCTATATAAACATTCTTTATCATTTATAATACCTAGATATGTTTTAAAATGCAATTTAAAGCATTTTTGGTTTCGATCATAGCAGGCTATTTTCAAGAAAATATCGATTTTATATCTCTATTAGCAATCTTTATCATTCATAATACCTAGATATGTTTTAAAATGCAATTTAAAGCATTTTTGGTTTTGATCATAGTAGGCTATTTTCAAAAAAATATCGATTTTATACCTATATAAACATTCTTTATCATTTATAATACCTAGATATGTTTTAAAATGCAATTTAAAGCATTTTTGGTTTTGATCATAGTAGGCTATTTTCAAAAAAATATCGATTTTATATCTATATAAACATTCTTTATCATTTATAATACCTAGATATGTTTTAAAATGCAATTTAAAGCATTTTTGGTTTTGATCATAGTAGGCTATTTTCAAAAAAATATCGATTTTATATCTATATAAACATTCTTTATCATTTATAATACCTAGATATGTTTTAAAATGCAATTTAAAGCATTTTTGGTTTTGATCATAGTAGGCTATTTTCAAAAAAATATCGATTTTATATCTATATAAACATTCTTTATCATTTATAAGACCTAGATATGTTTTAAAATGCAATTTAAAGCATTTTTGGTTTTGATCATAGTAGGCTTTTTTCAAAAAAATATCGATTTTATATCTATATAAACATTCTTCATCATTTATAATACCTAGATATGTTT